TATTATACTCCCCATTAAGGGGAGGGGGTTTGTTAATCATGGGTCTACATTAACCTCGATCCGCACGCCATCCTTTCCGAATACTCTACGCTGTTCGCACAGCCCACTGCAGTGGGAATGCCCATGTGGGTTGGTAGGATAGTTCGTAAGGTTGCCAGCCTCCACGTTGCAAGGCTACCACATACACGCCTGATAGTTTCCCAAAATAGGAGGACCCCAATATCGACCCTAATATACTATGATCCGTTCCATCTACGGGCGGTGAACATGTTAAACCGCAGACTCTTGGTAGTGTTTCTCTAGATATGGAGCCTCAGGCAAACCTGCGGATTGCATGGCATTGTGGGGTCCTCGTCAGGGACGGTTTAGGGTTTAGGATTTGGGGTTTAAGGCTTGGGGAAGACTATTACAAAGTCGATTCTGAGAAACTCCCACATCATTCGCACGTCACGTCGCTGAGGGATCCAAACAGCTCCTCTGTGACACAGAGTTGCTCTGACTCATCCAGGGTTCCCAGTGATTCCAAGGTGACGATGGCCTGGAAATTTAGGGTTTGGGGTTTAGGGTTTAGGGCTCCAAGGTGACGATGGCCTGTGGTTGTCTTTTTTTGGGTTTAGGGCTTGGGATTTAGGATTTGGAGCCGCAATACTTAGCATAGTGGAGAGTCACATGAGGGAAAAAAGGCGGAAGATGAGGTCTAGAATTGGAAAGTACATGTCTCAAGACCTTTAATGGGGTATTTGGGAAACTTTTGCTAGAGGAATTCAAGGAGTCTACGGGAATACCCTAAAAATTAAACCTAAACCCTACAGTGATCATTCAAACACAAGCGCGTCGCGTCAACAAATTCCTGTCGACCCTACATGTACCCATGCGCTGAATTTGAAGTTGACACCCAGAGGACCTGCGGATGAAAACCAGGAGGCCCGCGTCCCGTGTACCAACCACAGACACGGCCCGCAAAAGGGAGACACAAGTTGGTAACCCCAAAACAAAACTGACCTGCCGACCCTTTCAAACAAAAAGCCAATGCATCCCTTAACTGAGCTTCATTCTAAACCCTAAGCTACCTAAATTCTGAACACGACAAAAGGCCTCTTGTATGTAAGAATCTAAGCTCTTGAGGTCTGGGGAGTCGTGGGCAGAGTAGCCGACGAGGATGTGCTTCAGATGCTCTTCCGCTGTAGGGATGCCTCGTCATACGCTTCAGGTGCCCAATGTTAGGGTTTAGGGTTTAGGGTTTAGGGTTTAGGGGGCTACAGGGATCATGGGGCTATCTAGGGACAAAGAGCTTAAAGTTTAGGGGTTAAGGGTAGGGCTTTAGGAACGACCATTGTTGCCAATGGGGTGGGGTAACATGGTGACTATACCTTGGAAATCCTTGGAATATGACGGTTCTACAAAGGGCTTGATGAAGGCTCTATGTGGAGTTGCGTAGAAATCCGTGCTAAATCCTTCCGATAAGCAACCAGTTCAAACACGCAACCCTAAACCGCGTTCATATTCTGGAACTCAGGGGGCTATCTAGACTCAACAGTCTGTACAACAGTAGCCGAAAAAAGAAAGACAGAAACAGAACACAGCCAAAAAAGGCGATTATTGCAGATTATTGTGAGGTCCAAGAAAAGCTTCGGCCTTTCGAGTTCCGTGCCTGAGGGTAGGCTTAGGTATCGACCTGCTCCGGCAATTGGTCATGATCTGATGGTTTCTCCAAGAATCCACTAGTATATCCTTGTAAGTGAGCCTGAACCCTCAAACCCTCAACTCCTTTCTTGTGCCAGAGAAACTGGAGTAAGCAAGATTTTCCCGAAAAGATCCCTACGAATAACTGTTTGATAACTACGGCGAGTACAAGGTAAGGCCATTTAACAAGCAGAGTAAGGCATTCTGTACACGGCCAATTCCGCTACAGGGTTTCGGGGACCTTGCCCCGAATTATACAAACTCTAGATGGGAATTACATTGGAGGGCCCAGGTCAACCCTAAAATCTCTTGGGGTGACTTCTTTTGGCCAGGCTACCCGTTCGAAGCTCCGCGTCTTGCCAATGGCCGCGGATGAAACGCAAGAGGAGACAACCTGAAGACCCTAAACCCCAATTAGGGTTAATAGGGTTTTAGGGTTTATGGGGTTTATAGGGTTTATAGGGTTTATAGGGTTTATAGGGTTTATAGGTTTTAGGGTTTATAGGGTTTATGGGGTTCAAAGCCCCGAGCCACAATGAACTGATTTCAAGCACAGGTGTTGGGCTTTGAGGCAGTTTTGCGTTTGGGGTCTTCATTGCGTTAGAGATTCTGAAGCAGCTTTCATGGGGCAATTGAAAATTTGTATGAGTCCTATCCTCCCAACTAGCTTGGAACGTCAAGACTTGCCCGCTCAAGAGATCTGTTCTTTTGACAGAGGCTTTTGAGGGTTCCACATGAGCTAGAAATCTAAAAACCTAGTTTCCCTCTTCTAAACCCCTATAATCGTCCCAGATAATCCCCGATATAACCTTTTTAGGGAGTTCAGACCCTAAACCCTAAACCCGATATGACCCCCCTTTAAGGAGTTTATACACTAGATCTCAGGTCAGTTTGGGGGGCAAGATCACAGGTGCCGGTGCAGTGACGTGCGCCTGCCCGTGAGGCACCCAAGCGACTGAAATTCCAACTGCGATGCAGGAAAGGTCATTAATGTGGGGTCATGGGACCCTAAACCCTAAACCCAAAACCCTGACACATGTGGTAGACCGCGCAGGGGCTTTATGCACAACAGTTTCAACAGGATTCAACTCACTATGGGGCTCATTCTGCTCATCCTTCAATTCTTGGTATTCCTGGGTACAGCGCTAGATACTGGTTTTCTCGGTTTAGTTGGTTGGCACATGATCCCACCGTACTGTGAGGGCGTCAGAAGGAGCCCACGCACTATACGTACATACATAACCCCTTTTAAGGAGTTCAGACTATAGCTCACATGGCATACCAAAACAAACAAGAAGAGCTCTATCAACGACACCCCCCTCCCTTCTCCAGTTTATCAGCGGGGGCAGTCCCTATATCCTAAAGCTTACATAAACCTTTAACCCTATGCCCTAAACATTGAACCCTAAACCTAAAACCCTAAACCTCAAACCCTGCGCCCTAAACAGTACCCAAAGGCTCCCATTTAGTGCTTTGGAGCATGTTGCTTGAAGCGACAAACGATCATCCCAATCTGGTGCTGCTGCAACCACCATTAATACCAGGTGGAAGCTGGATAGCGGGGCTGCACCAGTCCAGGTACCTTCGTCTTTGTGATCGTTGGTTTTCGATGTATGGCCCGCAAACGGATACAACTGAAACGAATGACTTTACTATGAACTGTGCTTGTCATTACAACGGCTCAGCAAAACCATACTTGGAAGGTTCAGGGGTGGCTATGTGGGGTGTTAGAACCGTAATTTTATACCCGACTGTATGGAACTTCAGAATGATTATCTTCCGACAAACAGCTACGTATGAACCTTCAAGCACGGTACGGTTTTAGTACATGGTCTCCCAGCGTGGGCACCAAGTATATACACTCACCCACCTATATTCTTAAGGAACACTATATACCGTCACAGTACCACCCTAGACCCTAAACCCCTTAACCCTTCAACCCTAAGCCCTAAAACCCTTAAACCCTAACCCTAGAACCCCCTAACCCCTAAATGCACCAAAAACGGACCGTCGAGGAGCCAATTTCTTTGCAGAGTTTCCGTCGCAGCTTCGGCAGCTGAGCATTCCACATCTTGAGCAGCCTTTCTCTGAGCTATAATCTCAAATCCCTAGAAGGGGATCATATAGGGGATTAGGGTTTAGGGTTTAGGAATTAGGGTTTAGGGTTTAGGGATTAGGGGATTGTATAGGGGAGTATTACAGGGGCTATTAAGGGGGATACTAGGAATTTAGACAATGGCTTATCTGAACTGCATCTGCGATGAAGCCCTTACCACATGAATTATGTAGGGTTTAGGGCTTAAATGGCGTAGCTATTTCTTGGGGGCTTTGAAGAAGCAAGAAAACTCCAAAATTGTTTTCAGGACATCCATAGGAACTTGAGTGCGAAGAAAAGCTTGGGTTTTGAGGCCCACCACTCTTGGATAATGGGCTTGACGTAGCCTAGGACTCATATGTCGTTCTTCTTGGGTGGTGTAGTATTGTAATCCCGTACCACAAACACATCAGAAAACGACAGAAAAAGGACCTACATAAGCACCTCAGGGTCGCCACTGAGCATAGGCTTCCATCGCCTAAGCTTCGCATCATACTGCAGGTGGGCACTTAAGCCAGGTTCCCACTTTGTGGCCACAACATCCCACTCGGTTCCTTCCGGGAAGCCCCGAATCCGAACTCCGTACTCAAAGGGCTCCAGCTGTGCCCGGGCTAGCTCGTGGTAGTCCTTACTTCGCGTCCTTGTGCTTTCCACCCGCTCGCGTGCGTCTGCCTGCGCCTGCAGGAGCACCTCGTGCAAAAGTTGTGCGATTCTATGGTCGGCAACCTCGATCGTCTCCAGAAAATATGTCTGAGCAAAAACTAGGGTCCTACACCCTAAACCCTAAAGTGTAGTTTCCATTTTTTGCGTTATCCCAACATATCCCCAATAATATACACTAATAGTGCCTATGCTACCCCTATATACTCCAAGAGGGTCCTAAACCCTAAACCCCAAATCCTCACATCTTTCAGCAACCTTGCCGCGGAAGACCACCTCAATGTCGTGATCAGATCCGTGCACGTCAAGTCCATAGAGTGTGCTGCCCGCCTGAGGCCGTCAGCCCCATCTACAAATACAAACACCAATATGTATGTATGTATGTATGTATGTATGTATGTATGTATGTACGTACATGTATATATATATGTATGTGTATATATATATATATACGCGTATACACAACGGTATATGTATGTGTATATGTATATATATATATGTATACACACGCGTATTATGTGTATCGAAACCCGCCACTTCGAACAGAGCAGCAACTTCAAGAGAGCGGGTGCTGCCTGCCTCGGTGATGCTCTTGAAGCTGTCCGGCGGCATATGGATCTTCAAGAGTTTACGCAGGTTGGATACAGCAATCAGCTTTTGGAAGGGAGCATCAGGTACTACCACAGCTCTGGTCAGAAGGGCGCAAGCAGTGCCATCCTGCAAATCCCGTGGACACAGCTCCTTCACAACATCCACAGCCAGCTGGCGGCGTGAGGCCTTGCAGTTGTTTTTGGGCTCAGGGTTTAGGGTTTCCCAAACATACCTGTATGATGGCTAGAAGCTTTACGTAAAGGTTCAGGGTGTGACTGCTGTGACCTAAACCCACAAATGGTCAAGCGGCGCTCTTCTTCACGCTCCAGCTGGGAAACGTGATCTCATGTGGCGGATCACTAGCCTTGAACACTCTCACAGATCCCAGGCGCCCGAAGCGGACTTCGTAGGATTCGGCCCTGACCTTCTGGCCACGCATCATATGCGGGTTCGTGTTGAACTGCTTCACCTCTACGCATGCGACTTTTGCGCGCTGCCCCACCATGTAGATTGAAAGGCCAAGGATCCCGCAAGAACGTGCGAGAGGCCCCGACATCTCACCACATGCAGAGGTAGCTCCCTAGCGTCTTTGCCAAAAAGAGCAAGTTGCCTTACACAAATCATGGGCAATCATGAACATCAACTAAATTCTAATACTTGTGATTGTAACAGTACAGGGTCATCAAAATGGCTGCTGCTGCTGCTGCTGCTGCTCATGTACATGCAGGAAAAGTAGTAGCAGTGGCATCAGTGGTAGGAGTAGTAGCAGTTGTAGCAGTAGTAGTGGTGTAGTAGCAATAGCAATAGCAGTAGTAGTGGCCGTCGTGGTGGTGGTGGTGGCGG